ATGTTGATGTCTTGCAGGGTTACAACCGTCCGTTTTTCACGATTTGGTCTAATATATCCAGCTTTCTAGTTTGACATCCAACAGTTTTTGACCTGCTGATGGGCATGTGGTATGGGTTGAGCGTATACTAAAATGTAGGCCTGTAACCGTCCTATCTGTAATAGATATTACAATTCATCGTTCGCTGGGTTTGTGGAAAAATCTCCTACAAACGTTTTGCTTTATCATGCGGGTTTGCTTCTGCTGTAATTGCAACGCACCACTTAAGACAAATTTGAGGGCCCGGCATTGCAAGAAGAGCTGAAGGCAACCAACATTTGTTCAGTGAAAATGATACCACTTTGTTCCATTTGCCACAGTTAATTGATAACTCGCAGTATCTCTTTATATTTCTAGCAGCTTTCCTAGACGAAAGGGATCCTGCGAAATAGCCTAGTATAAAAATTTCATTGACAAAAAGCATCTCAATCCTCTGCACCACGCTTTTATGGTAATGAACGGGAAAATACGTAAAGCATCCGCATGTGCACACATAACACCGCATTTCAATTATGCGGTTTGTACTTATTACGGTTAACCAGACGAAGACTGAATTGCTGAAGATACCATGAGGAAGAGCTCGTTAAATGACTTATAACCCAATGTTTTCTTAACAAACGAAGTTGTTTTTTGTATACGAGGCGATGGCCTCATCCTCATAATATGCCGCCAACAAGAGTCTAATTTTTATGAAAATATACTATCTTCATTAGGATGTGCTTATCACCCAGTACAGATGAGTTGGAGCCCTTCCAGTATATCTCGCTTCCCATTTTGCACTCATGTTTTTTTAATCCATGCCATTGTTACCGGGCAGTTTCAATTTGAACCCTCTCAAATTAATGTTGTTCTAATTATGGTCCGTTTGCTGTATAGCCCTGATTGAACCATCATGCTCCAGGAAGAAAGCATACTATCATGTGTCATTACACGATTTTGTGGTTGGAGTAAGCTTATGTACTCTAAGAATATTGAACTGGAGCATTTCTCCAGTTTGATTGTGCTAGCAGCCTTTATTGGCCAGAAACAAAATATTTTTTGCGTAACTTGTGAAGTCACCTTTGCTGATATATGCCATAGACATAATCTTTGAACTAATTGCTTGGGTGGGCTTCATCCGGATTTTGCTACCTTAACTGAACAGTTGTACCAGAAAATACAATATCAGTGCATGATTCCAAAAAACCAATAGCTGTAGAACTTCAAAAACTATATTGTAAAATTTTGAGCTGTTGTACACCAGAAAGCATGTTAACACAGTAGGTTAACACCATTTATTTAATCAGGATTGTTTCAAAAAGGGTGGTGTCACCACAAGAATGAGCACGTTACCTACGCCGTATCCACCATGAGCCATTGCAAAGAAGTATCACAGTCAAAGAATAAAACTTGGTTATTCTGTGTTCCCCCTAAGATATTTGTTACCAAAAACAAGCTCCGATGATACATGAAACAAATGAATGAATTTGAACCAAAAGCTTGCGGGACAGCTAGCCAGTCTAACATAGGGTAAAGATACTGAGTGCCACAATGTGAATAAGATCCTCTTGATCTTTCAAAAGATCAATCTATTCTATTGTACTCGGAAGAATTGTAACCAGTATATGTGATTCAAAATGGAATAAGTCCTGAAGACGTAGTTCCGGGAGGCATGGATGGAATTCGATTACTAAAAAGCTGCGAAAAATATTGTTGCATCCATATTAGACAGACTAAAAAGGGTGCAATTGTATCTCACTTTGGCCCCTTCATTCAAGGGTTACATGGAAATAGCAGTGATAGGTTGCAAAAGCTAGTTACAGGACGGTTTCTCTAGCTCTGTGCGCGTATTTTGATCAATACAACTTGCTTACCGAACTTTTCTTTGAGCGGGCGTTTTATTAGTATAGTTGAGGAAGGCTCGTCTAGCCTAAGGCTTGAAATATACAGCAAAGGTACATTATTCTTGATGTTGCTGCACAAAAAGTTATGTCTGGAGCCGCATGATAAGCATTACTTGAATACTGGAATACTTGCTTGTTCCGCGACCTTGTCAGATAGTTTGCTGACGGCTAAATTTCGGGGAAATGGTACCACAATTTTAAGACCAACTTTTTATAATGTATCTATCTCATGGAGCCGTCAAACTCTATTCTATGGTGAACGTGTAAGTGCTTGCTGTGCACTGGGGCACTCTTACTTTGACGCAACAGTTGTAGTGATTAATGTGACCTTTATTTCATGGTGCCTCTTACGAACTGGGGGACTCGAAAACGCATTGTTCTTTGTCAATCTACTATGCTTTGGTTGAGCCTTGCCCGAACGCATCCCAGACACTGTGGCTTGCAGAATAATTGAGACACTAAAGTCTGAAAAGCGTCACAAAGTGGTAGCTTCAGACCGGAGGGACATGTTAGCTTGGCGTGCAGTTCAGCAACCTAAAGACAACAGTTCCGAATCTAGACGAAGAATACAGATTTTGAAAGACTGTTTTTCTTAGGCATTATTGGTGCCTACGGATGTTTTTTAGAACGACGTGTGTCTATAAAGTTTCATAGGTTCTCAAGGTCAACGCTCTGTTCTACCGTAATCAACTTGCAAAGGGACAAATTATCATCATTGTTCAAAACTTGAGAAGGGACCAGTAGTTCAGGAGATACCCCAACTAGTTTTCGCTCTGATCATTCCCTGACTTGGCACGAAATTTGAGGTAGATTTAATCGTACCGGTTAGCTTGTGCTCATTAGGCCTCTACTTGTATCCTGGTCTGGTTTATCGTTGACAGTTATTCTGGTTGAAAATTATGGAGAAGTTCAAGATACCACAAATTTAGTGAGAAATGGGTAATGCTTTTGGTTGATCGCTTTGGACTTTCAACATCTGTTTTCGGTACGGGTGACGTGCCAGGTTATCCTTTGGAATCATCATTTCTTGGCCAAATTAAAAGCGTTTCAGACGGATCCATCTGAAATTGGCTACTGCGTCGAAAATCATACCAGACAGCGTATGTGAATTCATACAAAAATTTTCCCTGACTTTCTCAATTGATCAAGTTAAACTATTCATTAGTTACCACCGCAACATACAAATACAGGTTTAAAACACATTTAAGATAAAATCAATGATTTTCAGCGGGTTCACTTGAGCTCACTGAGGAGGAATTAGATACATCTCGAAGGGGAAGCATCAAGTCGGTAAACGCCGTGTTGACCTCAAATCCAGTGATTTAGCTACAGGATAAGCAATGCTCACCAACCTGGGGTCGAAATCACCCTTTAAGGCATGCAAAGCTAACGGCCGACTGGGTAGCACCTGGATTATGGTATCAGCAGTGGAAGTCGCACTGTAACCTCCATCAATTTCGAAAACACCAGGCTCTCATTAGTAATCAACAATGCACTTCATGCGTATCCACTAATTTGCTCACGGCCCTGCTAAAAGTTGGGAGAATATTGTGATTACACTATAAGCCTACAATGGTTAACGTGCTTGTGAAATTGTTATCTGAGAGAATGAGATTTATGGTTTATCAAGTTAACTAACCCGAACCTATTTTCTTTAAAGAAGCCATGTTTCCTCTAACCCCCAGGTTTTTTGTGAAATCGTAGTAGAAGATTTTCAGATTTAGGTTTTCTCCGCTCTGAACACAACAGAAGTTAACCAAATATGGGGAGGAAAAGTCGTTTGCTAATTAAGACGGCGTCAACCGAAGCACCAAATTAGGCTAAACTTATCATTTACAATATTTGAGAAATAGTCCGCGAATGACTTCTTGTTTTCAGTACGTTTTAATTGGTGTTCACTTGTGAAACAGAGTGATAAAAATCAGTAATTCTATCTGCCTGATGGAATGCAGAAAGGGCAAAAACAATGGTGGTTAGTCCATTATTTTTCGTCAAAACTTTGGGCAACGTCACGTGAATTCCGCACGTGATTGAGGTTGTAGAGTTATTTCGTTCGGTGTTCAAACACTAATGGAGATAAATCTGCCAAATTGAATTTTCGTGTGCAGCGTTCATGGTAGGGTCAGTAAAATTATTCTTCAAACAAAGCCAAGATAACTTCAGTGGATTTAGCGTTCTTGAAACGTGACCATGAAAGCAATATTCTTGGGTAGTGAAGAAGAAACTGATGACAGTTTTCAGCCCCTGTGATTATCTTAGCACCAAGTCTGAAGACGAAGCATACTAATAACATCAGGTAGTTTATATTCAGAAAATCTTGCATCTACTTAACCCAGCTTTTCGCAATACAACACACATAAAGGGCACACAGGCAACACTACATCTGTCAGAAATCCATATTTCCGTGTAACGTCGTAACCCAGCTAAGTTGACATTCAATCTATACGCGAGAATGGAATCATCCACATTCATTAACGTCCCAAAAGCATAAGGTCTGATGACCACATTGTTGAACGTGGTCCGCTGAGACACCGAATCCTATGTGAGGTAAGAACAAATTTTCTCCTTATTTATCTGGTAACAAAAGAACAACGATCCAACCTGATATTATTAAAGTGTTGAGAGGAGAGCAAAAATGGATTAATCTGTTTTCAGTGTAAAGGATACAGTGGTTTGTATTACTCCTCATTATGATGAACAGCCCGGATTACAGAGAAGGGTAAGCTCGTGATCAGAGACCCTTTCTGTAATACGCGTGCAAGGAGCTCATGAAAAATGCCTTCCAAGGTAAATTCAGGAAGTGCCAAATAACCTGGTGTTCAGTGATCTGAAGTTTGTGGGAGTTCAAAATCACGGAAATTTCTACTGAAGGATGGACGGGCCGACATCTCGGTTCTGTGATGGTTAGAAACTGGATAGATAACCGGATGTGTATATTCGTGTTGTATTGTCGAAGGTGGGGGGGGGGAAAGGGTTGATTGTAACTTTCTGGGAGTTAGATTCACTCCTGAGGAGTGCAGCGATGTGTAAAGTTTGCCGTTTATTTGTCCTAACTTCACTCCGTTTTTTAGCACAATGGCTGCCAACGATTTTGGTCGTGAACTGCCTACAAACAACCAGGTTGCTGAGGATCAGATATGGTATGTATGTTCATCTGCTCTTTTTGAGACCACACAGGCGAACCCACTGCATATCAGAAGAAAGGAGTAAAAAGGTCTTCCAATCAAAGTGGGGATTTCTTCAAGGCCCATTGAGTAAATTCGTGGAAGATGAGTTAGATAAGCTAGTGGATCCCAATCGCCCGGACTGGAGGACAATGGTGCAAAAACCCGCAGAAGATCCGGTGCCCCTGAGCAAATATATTCACGTTCAGCCATCCCCTCAACCATTTCCAAAAACCACTGCTGGCATGATCGGATGGCGTGCAGTTGATCCCAGAAACTGGCCTGATAGATATGGACGATATTATCCCGGAAGAGATGATATAGTCAAACAATTGAACTGGCCCAGAGATGTCCCGATGTGAGTGTGTTGCATGAAAGGCTGTTATTAAAGGCCGCTTACCGCACAACATTCATACAACTTCGGACAAAAGCAACCTATTTATTTTGGTGCGACTTTTGAATTCCCTGTACTCCATGTTTACATTTGACCTCGTCGTTTAAAAGGCTTCTTCTGTAATAGCCGTTAGAATGCTTGTTACCCTTCTTGACACGGATCCCTTAACCTTACTTAGATCAAGACATGTGGACGTAGAAACATCCTACCAGCGTACATGTTGAATTAGCTTTTATTTACCGAAATACACTCACCTGAAAGCAAATTCGGCCTGAAAGGGATAATTTGCTGAACCTTCCGTTTATGATCATTAAGTAAATTTGTTGCACAAAGGCCGCCCAACATTTCAGTAGGAAACGTATTCTAGGCGTCGCAGTACATTATGAAGATGGAACACACTACCCATTAGATTCGGCGGGGATTCAGTTATATGTTCCTTTACAGCCAGTTTACTTTGCCAGTGAGTGTACTTGCCAAACTGCGTTCAAGTTATGTTCAAGTGGAGCATGAGCTTAGTGTTAACTAGAAAACTGTTCCCGACTGACGAGCCCCAAGAAGGACGAAACTGGCAGTGGTCTGTTGAGAAATTTCCAGCAACATTATAAGTGGTGTGTTCCGGCTTACTGATGGTTAATCATTTTTGTCCTAGTGGGTAAAACCTGATATATGTATACACTTTAGTGTCAAAGCGGACAATCACGGCTGATAATTAGATCGATGTCAAAGTATTTCAAGTGAGAAGCCTAATTAGGCGTTCTGACTGAAAATAAACTCGCACAGATTGGGTCGGTCATCATTTAAAACGACGTATTTTGAAAACTCAGTAATGAACGTTTTAAGCTGCAGCAGAGTTAAAAAGCACCATTTGATATTTTCCAGAAATAGCCCAATATATTCTGCAGGCATAAAGCAGGCTCGTGATAAGCAGGAGCTTGAATGCACACTGTTTCAGCGAATTACCTCGTTTATGGACCGCCTGGAACTCGCTGATCATTGGTGTTTATAATCCGATGGGCCTCAGCTGTCCTTAAGATATACTTGGAAACGTAACAGCTGCAGATGTTCAATGGTTCGCTTTTGCAAAATATAAGCACTAACTTGTCGCATCCGACTTTAAGCTTGTGTTTGAAATACGAAATTCAGCTTACAAACATGGTTATATTTGTCCATGATCACAATATATCTCTTGTTCGGTTCCATAAACGAAAGTGATCTCATGATGTCTTTGAATAACCTTTTGAGTATCTTAAAACGTTGAAAAAGATCGCTTTAAGTGAGGAAGAAAAGAATTAATGCTACTCATCCTCTGCACAACAGTGATAACATTTTCATTAGTCAAGGGTGAAACGTTTTAAAGGTAGTCGTCTGTGGGCGGGCTTTCTGAATCAACTACTGAAACCCTAAGTCGGTCGAGAATTTCCAGCAACATTATAAGCTGTGTGTTCCGGATTACTGATGGTTAATCATTTTTGTCCTAGCAAGTAAAACCTGATGTATGTATGTACTTTAGTGTCAAAGCGGACAATCACGGTTGATAATTAGATCGGTGTCAAAGTATTTCAAGTGAGAAGCCTAATTAGGCGTTCTGACTGAAAATAAACTCGCACAGATTGGGTCGGTCATCATTTAAAACGACGTATTTTGAAAACTCAGTAATGAACGTTTTAAGCTGCAGCAGAGTTAAAAAGCACCATTTGATATTTTCCAGAAATAGCCCAATATATTCTGCAGGCATAAAGCAGGCTCGTGATAAGCAGGAGCTTGAATGCACACTGTTTCAGCGAATTACCTCGTTTATGGACCGCCTGGAACTCGCTTATTCTTAATGTTTATAATCCAATGGGCCTCAACTGTCCTTAAGGTATACTTGGAAACGTAACAGCCGTAGAGGTTCAATGGTTCGCTTTTGCAAAATATAAGCATTAACTTATCGGTCACAGAATACCGACTGAATAGCATAAATGTTTTTGAATTAACTTGAATCTCGTCATATATCTGGTGTCTTAGTGCTCCATTCCATAACTGCCTTTTCTTTCTAAGAAATGAGATAAAATAAAACTGGAACCACTAGTAAGTTTCGGGTAATGTGAACTTAAACAAGAAGCTAGCTCTTTGTTTGGTCGTTGACAGTATATACGGATTTGAATTAAGACGGTCCCTCGAAATAAGGAGCCTCGATATTTTTACCCTTCCCCTCGAAGTGGTATCAAAACCGATATATAAAGCATACAACACAGAATAGCAAGTATTCATTTACACCTTGTTAATTTTCAAGGCATTGTTTGATCGCTTAAGAGTAACCTTGAAAGAATAGGCAATAATACTGATTATATTCTTACTGATCGCTGCGAATAGAACCTGATAAAACGATTTGATGATCCAACGATGAAGAAGGGCCCCACAAAATACACACTTGGTAAAATTCAGTGAGCACACTCTGCACCGCTGTTGAAGTTGAATAAAGACGCTGATGGAGAGATTTAGAAGGCTCCGTTTGAAGGAAATCATTCAAGGAGTTGCCAACATCTACTTCACTAGAACAGTCTGTAGACATTAATTGTAATATTGCAAAATATCGTGTACCTTCATAAGTGGTTGACGCAAAGTAGACTCTCAGAAGACGGGTTTACAACAAAAAAATAGGGTAAACTGTACACTGTCATATACTTGTGAGGAATCAGGTCAGTCTCAAGGTACAGACTGGCTTGTGAATATTAACTTTGGTGGGCTGTTTATTGTAGCGCGGTCGCATTTACGTTGGTGCTACTACCTACTTAATTGACATGTGAATAAGATTTCTGTTTGTGTTGTTGTTCGGCGCTAAGAATACCCCGCGGTCACAGAATACCGACTGAATAGCATTAATGTTTTTGAATTAACCTGAATCTCGTCACGTATTTGGTATCTTAGTGCTCCATTCCATAACTGCCTTTTCTTTCTAGGAAATGAGATAAAATAAAACTGGAACCACTACTAAGTTTTGGGTAATGTGAACTTAAACAGGAAGCTAGCTCTTTGTTTGGTCGATGACATTATATACGGATTTGAATTAAGACGGTCCCTCGAAATAAGGAGCACACGTGAAAGCCTAGTCATGTCTAGTCGCTTGGCACTTTATGGAATTATCTCGGATAAACAGTATGATGAGGAAGATTTGGGGTGTCGAATTCATGGTCAGAGGAACAGTTCCGTCACTATCAAGTACGCTGCGGTCATGTTGACAAAGCGTTCATCTTCAGGAAGTAACCGAGTGTGGAAAGGAGCTTGGTGATGTTTGGAATCGTGATAATTAACTCTACCGAGCATTTTGGACGAACAAAGACATATTTTAATCAATTTAGTATTTTCTGTGTCAATCTGCGTTACATTCCATTTATAAAACATCAGCTTTCAAAGACTTCCATTTGTTTTTTTCTTGCTTCTTCTTCAATCGTAAAATAAAATGCCGCCCGAAGACGTTCGGGTACGAGTTGAATCTATATGCAAAATAAATTACGCCTCATTATTGTCTGGGATCTTATTTGCCCATTATCCGTCTCTGAGTAATTGATTGCACCCTTGACTAAGTAAGTAATTAATGCACCGAACATAGAGGTAAACTTCCGGATTGAAATCCCGCCAGCATACGAAAAACATTTTTTCAGTGAGTCGATGAAAACAACATATTTCAGAAGACTCAAGACATCCGTGAGCAGGCTTTGAATGTCGCCATATATATATATATATACTTATATGGTACCTATAAACAAAGCCGATGCCACTCATTTGTTGAGGATCCAGTCTGCGGTTTGTGTGGAGCTGTTTACCGTATGGTTCTCCTGAGAAACGTTCTTGTTAGGTAGCTGATAGGGCCTAAAAATGTAGTTAATTTAATGAAACCGGTAGAGCCTCAACATATCCTGTCGGAGAACTGCCAATGTTTGTAGTTTATGGCAGACAGCAGTTTTAATCCAATAGTTTTCAATTTCTAAACCGAGACTGCCTGTGTTCCGTAAAATTACTGATCGATTTGTTCTCCATATGATAATGAGCTTCGACCGCGCAATTCTGCTACGCCAGTCTTTCCCCCGATAGAATCCAAGTTTTCTATGTCTGAAAGTGGGAAACAATGATTGTTGTCGACCAATGCAGTCAAGCTGAAAGTGGAAAACGATTGAAAGGCTAGTCATGCTTTTGGTTCCTACTCAAGTTTCTTTTACTATTCTATTTTAGGCGTTGCTCTATGGCCTATGTTAAACTGTATTGCTAACCGGTGAAAATGCCCACTGGACATAATTAGTGGGATATGGTCGTATGTAACTATATTAAGGAGCCCATTTTCATTAGTTGCACCATCTATTTGGTAACCTATTTTATAAGTACGTGGACTATACGTTTACATACAGTTTTACTGCGCTTAACAAGATGTAACCAAACAGGAATAGCAAGATTCGCCATTAAGTTGATTGCGGAACGTCCTCCGGAGCTCGGGTAAACATAATCTTTATGACAGGGAAAGCATATGGACAGACCACACTGTAATGGAATAAGATGTTATAATCCTACGTTTTGGATGCAGTTAGCAACCTTGTTGATGATAACACATACAGCCTGGATGAGTTCGTTTTTATAATATCTCATTAGTAAGAAAATAAACAATCGAGCTGTAAATGACGACTGAAAAATGCTAGTTTAAAGTCGAAGGGTAACAGTTGAATATGAGGGGGCAGTAAGGGGAAATAAGCCAGTAAAGTAAATCACTTGTAGACAGTTAGTATCTGTCACAACGTATAACCAAAGGAACAAACTTTACGCATTATTTCCCGTAGCCGTTTAATGAATTCTGCTAAAACAGTTTGGCAGATAATAATGTGAAAACTCTCTTCTTTACATGTGCATTGAGTTCGTCGGTTTTGCTTGTGCTGGTTTTAGTTATCTAAAGCTGACTGGACGGTTGTAAGTGAACATCTTTTTCTACAAGAC